CACACATTCTCCACCTATATCATATAATTACAAATAAGATCATAGAATCAAAGATCTACTATACTACTTACACAAAGCATTCCAGACATAGAATAATCTTGAGAAACACTTCAATACTTCCATCAATTTGTGACCTCATCAATGTGGGTATCCCTTCCAATGGCGCACACCATAAGCCACATACACACTAGCACATGTAAATCTATTCCAAGACCTCCCCAATATTCTAAACAAAGGATCCACCCATTGTACTACAGGAATTTCCAAGCACATCTCCTTGTTTTATGCATTACTTAATTTTAAATAATTTTAAACTTTAAATCTTCTTATTATTAATCTTCCTAAGAACCTGGCATGATTCTGACATATGGGGGATAGAGGTTGGAAAACAGCCTTTAAAGCAACCTTTCGTTTTAGTCAATTAAATGCTTTTTTTTTTAAATCAACAAATAATAGTACATTTTGTTTTCTTACATCTTTCATTAAGCTATAAAACTTTAAAGATGTGGTATGCTACTTGCAAAAGCTTATTTGTTATCTTCTACTTTCAAGGATGTCCACAATACATAGTTTCTTATAAAGATTTCATACAGATGAGAAAGCAAGTATATGTTTCAGTAATTACTAATAGTTTCTTGGTCAGTTTTCTTTTTAATAATAAGGGCCATGTTTCTTCCCTATCTTCGATATCTTTCCCCCTCAGATATCTTGAAAACAGACAAGTATATGCACTGTCAAAACTATCCCCTCTAGCGTAAGTCTTCTCTGTATAGACTTTGTCTGATCTAGCTGTTCTTTCTATGTGTGTCTTCCTTAGAGCTATTTCTTCATGTAAAGCATTAATCCACAAGATCATAGACTCTAAATGTGGTGACTCCACTATCAATAACAGTGAAGAGAATTCTAATATAAATCTGCACTGATCTTTTACATTATTTGGTCTGTTTGGTCATTTTTCTTGACCTTCCAGTTTCATGCTTAAACACCTCCAGGATGATCTAGCTTTGTGGATCTCTTGCCAAGCATTTGGCATACTTATTTTTCCCTCCAGTGCTTCTCATTCTTTTAGAAAGCAACACTACTCATGGCCTACAGTATCCTCTACTGTAAAATATTACAAACAAGTTTGTATTCTAAAATGGTGTTGTCCTTTGCTCCCTTGTGATTGAGTTCTCTAGTGGTGGTTTTTGGTTTACATGTATTAATTTTCCTTTAGAAATAGTGCTTCAATAGATCAGGCTAAAGTTACTTCAACTACAACCCATATATTCTCATTTGGTATTGATTTTGATGTTTGTTCTAAACTGATAGTTTCTCTACACATTCATAAATGAATTACAAATTGTTTATTACATCACTTAGCAGTAAATTTCCTTTGGTCAAGAAATTGTAAATTTGAATTTTTAAAAATGTCTATCGTTGTTTGCCATATCCAACATCTAACTCTTGAGGTATTTAGGTTTTGTAACCTGTGAACTCTGAAATTCTCTCCTTTCTTACTCCTAAACCATGTTTTCCAACTTTTTTGCTTTGCAATTGTTACTATGTCTACCTTTTTGTTCAAGTCACACAGCAATGAAATGTAGGTTTATTTAATCTAGACAACCCATCATAGAATTTTTCTGCCTTCTCATTCTCTGCATCAGATACCAGGACAAAAGGTACAACTGCCTTCATAAAGGTCTTTTGGTTAGTGTTTATCATGGGTGATATAATATGAAATGATCAAGTATCCTACGAAATGTTTCTTATCCCCTTTGACTTAAAATAAAACAAACTCTACTAATTTCTGACATAGCTGAATTACTACATTCCATAGCAGTAAAAGATCTATATGATAATGCAAGTGCTGGACAGACTAACTGCTGGTTATCTTTGAAAGACTTTGGAGAACAGAAGAGAAACTACAGGACTGGAGAAAGGACTATACCCTCTCATTTTCAAAAACAAAAATGAAGAGAATGGAGTCTGTCAAGTATAGGTCAGTATGGCTGACTTACATTAATGGGAAAATTCTGAAAAATAATTAAAGGAATTATTAGTAAACATCTAGAAAAAGAAGCTGCAATTACAGTGAACTAGTATTATTTCATCAATAAAAGGGTCTGTTTCATTTTATCTCATTTATTGTTGTTTTTCTCTGCATATCAGGGAAACTGCAGAAATTGCTTACTCAGTTTCTAACAAAGTTTTTAACAAAGTATCTCATGTTCTTTTTGTAGAAAAGATGAAGAAATAGGCTAGATGATTCTGCAATTCTGTGGACTTATAACTGCCTGAACAGCAGGATCAAAACACAAGTTATTAATGGGTAACTGTCAATATGAAGGAGATCTACAGTATAGTGCCCCAACAATTGATGCTTAGTCTTGTATTGTTTATAATACACTTCAGTAAAGGTAATGATAGCACATCTACTACACTGGCAGATTAAAAAAGCTAGGAGGAATAGCTAACAATTGGGATGATAAGATCCAAAAAATATCAGGACAGACAATGGGCTGAATATAAGATAATATTTAATAGGGATAAGTGTGTAGTCTTATATTTGGATTAAAGAAATCAACATTTCAAAAACAAGAGAGGAGACATCACAACAATTAATCTAAAAAACATGTGCGAGTTCTAGTAGAGTGCAGCCTCAATGAGTTCAATGAGTAAATAGTTTGACAGCCCAGACTCTATAGGCTACTATAGGACTAAGATCACACTTAGAAAACTGTTTATGAAGGACATCAGTAAGCTGGAGAGAGCACAGGAGGGCAACCAGGACAGTGAGGAGTCTTGAGTTCAAACTATGTCCTGACTGGTTAAAGGAATTTGGGATCTTTGGCCTAGAAGACTCAAGAAAGACATGTTAGCTATCCTCAAATAGTAGGATTGCCCCCTGGAAATGATTATTAAGTCTTCTGGCTGGCACGTGAAGGCAAAACTAAGAGCAAAAGACGGAAGCTGCAAAGAACTAAATTTAAATAAAGTGTAATATAACAATAAACTTCCTACAAATCAGAAGTATGAAGACATGAAATGAACTTCCTCAGGAGGTAATGGCTTTCCCTTCCCTGAAGATTATAAACCAAAGGCTGGAAAACATGTTATATATATTTATCTTGGTACAAAATGGAAAAGATAGCTTCTGAGGTCTCTGACAACAAGACTGCTCTTCCATTTTTTTCTTGGAATTTCTAACACCTATCATTTTCATAGGTGCTTCATAAATCATTGTTGAATGAATTCTTTTATTAGACACACTATTGCCTCTGAGTTATTCATCTATATACTGCTAACTTCCTTCTGTCTCCTGGTAACATTTATATTGAGAATGTCAAGAGTAATATAGGTTCATAGGTTCTGAGAATGAAAGAACTTCAGAAATTTTATCTGACATCTCCTTTTTCAGGCAAGGAAAATGAACCCTGGAGGGGTTAAATGATGACTAAAACCATCTGAGTAGTAAGAACCAAGTTTAAAACCAGGTCTTGTGATTCCAAATTAGTGATTTTTACCCCCTGCACCAGAATAGTTGAGCTTCTCCTGTAGTATGCCTGTTCTTTTGTCAAGGATTTTATATTTAAAGTATTAATAGCTACGTTGGTATTTATGGATGGCCCAGAAACTATTATTCTTACAATATCTAGTACCCATTCTGCTACTTTGCCATTGTCACTATAGAAGTGAAAAAAAGGCCAAACAAGATAAAGGTACATTTAAAATTTTTCTTTTCTTTCAAAGGCTGCCAGAGGCAAAAAGTAAGCCAATAATCAAGTGGCCAGATTACCGGTAATAAACTTCTTCATGCTTACCCTGAGTTGGTGGTCAAAAAGCAGACCATGCTTGAACCATTTTTAAAACCTTTCTAGCATCACAGACACTATCTAAGCTTGGATTCTTTGCCAAAGCCTGACAGAGTCCAGACGACTTCATGTAACAATAAAACACAACAGTAGCATTTTGCAGAAGCAAAAATTATCTACTACTAAATGAGCACTGTAGGTTCTCCAGTTGTTTTTTTTTGTTGTTGTTTTTTAAAAGTGGCAGACACATTGGGAAGGATAAGGAAAGAAAGAAGGAAGTTAGAGTAATTCATACAAGTTTTTCATATTCAAAAGGATTTACAAGGAAAACAATACATTGAGATAACATTTCTAATCTTTGTGCTATGAAAGATTAGGAAGGTTAGCTTATTACTTCAGATCCTATTGGTGAAGTAACAATCTTTGAAAACATCATGTACCATAGCTCTTTATTTAGACAACACACATCTTTTCTTGATGTCTCCTTTCCCTCCATCTATGTAATACTGCGTGGGTTAGGGCAAAAAAATACTTAAAAACTTGCTGAAGAGTCAGGCAAAGTACTTTAAAATATACATCTAGATCCCTTTTCCTTTAAAATCCAGAAAATCTATAATCTGGGTTTCTTCAAATATTAAAGAAGTCCCTATATGTTAAAGATCTGCAAATACTTCCGATTTTAAGAGCCAAGAATTATTTCAACAGCCATTATTAACCTGTTAGTTTTAATTAGGCAAACATTTGAAACAAAAAGCAAGTCACTGCTATTCATTCACTAGAACACTATGGCAAATATTTTGTTAAAACCAACTGTATTTTACTAGTCATACAGTATTTACATATCTTCAAGTTTTTTCCACAAGCAAATTTACTCTTGATTAGCAAAAAGGTTCAGTTCTTCTTAAGCTACGGAAAAGACTTAATTGAATGGCTAAACTTTCTTAAAAGAACATGACAAACTTACTAATGCAGCTCAAAAAATTTTCTTATTTCATCTTACTTTAGTCTATAATTTAACCTAGGCCAATACATTACATATTTAATCAAAATATCTTCAAAAGCCAAACATCTCCAACACAATTATTTTGATAGCATCGCTCACATTTCCATTTATCAAATTAAACTAAAACCACACAGAAAAAAACAATATTAAAGACTAAAAACATAATTTATACAAAGTTCATGCAGAATTCACTGACTGCTTACCTCCCCATGTACTTGCTACCTGAGGTGCAGTTGATAAAGAATGTACAGATGGATGAAAACTTGGCTGTTGCAAATCAAGTAGATCATTTGGCAGCTTTGAGGTGCTAGAAAGAGAACATGAAAGATAAGATAGCTTTAAAATAAGGCCACATTATGTACTGAATAGATATATCAACAGTATGTAGTATTTTATATTCAAGATCAGAATCCACAAGTAATAAAATTACTATAATCCTTTAAAATATCAGTGCCTGCCTTCCCCCAAACCCTGAAATATACTGGATTCCTCATTGAGGATAAATACTATACTGGATATTTTAACTACCAACATAATTACCCATATAATTTCCTTAAGGCAAGTCTTGTACACAGATTAAACTCCAAGACCTTTGATCACGTCCTCTTATTTTAAAAAAGAAGTTAATGCCTAGAGCACAGACATTCTGCTAACAGGTGTTCTCTTCCTCTCCTTTTGGGTTTAAAGTTTGTTAAAACTCCCTTCATGTATACTCCTCCTTTTCATCTGAACTCCTCTATACTAGAATCATGTTAAATTCTATATGGATTTTAAAAAACAAATCATAACTTTTGAAGTATGTTCTAGGATCTATTTGTCCTGATTATTGTGAGTAAACTCACCTAACCTACTATATTGAAGCCAGCCCTCATCCTCATCCAGCTGACCACCAGAACAGGGCATATCCGGGTAAACTGCTATTCACCCTATCATATGTGTTCTGCCACCCTTTCCTACTCCCCCCACTTTCTACATCTTACTTTCAAAATTCTAATGAAATTAGTACTACTCTTGCTACTAAAAAGGATGAGACATTGTTTATTCTATGCCTAATAATTCCTATGAGTCCAGAGGACCAAAACTCCCTTCTTTCATCCACCACTCCCTTGGGGGCTGTATTCCATTATTAGAATAAAAGTTCCTTGAAGGAAGGGATTTTGTTTGTAATCCCATTGACTCATAAATGCTTTTTCATTCATTCAATCTAGAGTATTCTTTATTTTCCCATTTTACCTCATAGAGGTTGCAGCTGACGAGGCAAAGTAACAGCAATATTGTAAGACGATCAGTTGTGAATGATTTAGCTATTCTCAGCAATACAACGATCTGAGACAACTCTGAAGGACTTTTGATGAAAAATGCTATCCATCCCCAGAAAAAGAACTGACGGTGTCTGAATACAGCTTGAAGCATACTTTTTTTTACTTTATTTTTCTTGAGGTTGTTTTTTTTTTGTCTGTGCTTTCTTTCACAACATGACTGTTATGGATATGTTTTGCATGACTATACACGTATAACCTATATCAAACTGCATGCCTTCTCGATGGGGGTGGGGAGTGGCAAAGGAGGAAGGGAGAGAATTTGGAGTTCAAAGTTTCAAAAACTAATGTTAAAAATTGTTTTTACATGTAACTGGAGAAAAATAAAATACTAAATTAAAAAAAGTAAAAAAAATAAGTGTTTGTTGACTAAAATGTAAATTTTTTTCAAGCATAAGAACTTATGTATAAATACTAGAAATAACCAATTTTACAACCCAGAAGTCCATGACTTACCTGTTAGAAGAACTAGGGGTAGAAAATATGTCAATGGCTGGTGCAGTCATTATACTTCCTGCTGAGGTGGATACAGGAGAGGCTGCAGTTGTTAAAGAGGTATGAGGTTTCTTTGCAAGTTCTTTTAGACGCTGTTCCTACAGAGAAAATATAAATCCAGAGAAGAAATTCATTTATATTGCTGCTAACAAAAATAAAACTTAAACATTGCTCTAATTCATTGCAAACAGATGTTATTTTCTGGCTACTATAATTACCTATTTCTCATAGAGGATAAAGAATTAGGTTACCAGACTGTTTCACATATTATCAGTAACTACCCAATGTTCAATTTCATACCATTTACAAAGAATCATAGAAACACAGAGCTGGCAGAAACCCTGGAGGCCACTGAATCCAATCCTCTAATTTTACTAATGAGGAACTGAGGCCAAAAGGTCAAATGATCTGCCAAGAGTCATATAAATATTAAGTGTCCAAGGTAGGATTTGAACTCAAGTCTCCCTAACTCCAAGTTCAACACTACTTCATCATGCTTATTTAATAAAACATAATAGTTATAGTTTTTACAAAAATAAAATTACTACACTTACTTTAAGAATGCTTACTTGGTTTTCCAATAAAGGGAAGGATACACTTGCCTTTAAAGCTTTCAAACGAGCCTGTTCTTCCTCTAAGGCTGCCTGCTTTTCCCTTTCATCCACTTTGGTTAGAGACAGGCCAGTACTTGCCAGGGAAGAGACAGCATTGGAAAGGGTTGTAGCCCTAGAATAAGTGGACAGAAAAAGAGTTGAAGATCATCCAAGTATTTCATATCACAATAAGTGGCAAGAGAAGAAATGATCTAGTAAACACTAAATGCCTGTTGACTCACTACTGGAACACTACGTATATCAGATTTTTTTCAATAAGTTAAGTGTTGCTAAACGTTTTCTACTCCTTTTTTACTCACTATAAAAGGATGAATTTCTGAGAGATGAAGGAGAGAAGAAAATGCTAGGAAATACAGGCGATGTAAAAATAAAAGATATCTATAAAATTTCTTTCAAAAAAAAAAAAAGGTTTAGCAACCTTTTAACACATGTTATTAAATTCACACACTTAAAACATCAGCATAAATCAGCACTCCCTAGGTAAAATTTCACACAATTTTGATTTTTATAAATTTACAATTAAACTCCTTCATTTTATTACATTTCCATTAATATTATTTAACATGTCAACATTCTGGGGAAAAAACAGTTAAACATCAGGCAGTGAGGGAACAAAAGGCTATCAGAACATGGTAACAAACAGCCTTCTATTTGGTCCTATCTTTCTGTAGGACCAAATACCATTCATTTCTGTTAAGACTCCATTAGGAGAAAAAAAATAAAATTTCATACTGTCAATTTTATAGTCCTAGTCACATAAAGTCTCATGATTCTAAAAGGTTAAAAAATTACTGACATTCTGATTCACAACAAATTATACGAAATATTTTCAAAATGACATTCAATGTCAGTGTATTTTGTCTTAGCCATTTGTTTTTCAGGATGGTTTCGCTAATCTATTAGACTTCTTGATCTTTTATTATTAATTTTACCAGAAAATTGAATGGGAAAATCTGGAGTACTGAATAAATACTAAAATTAAGTCATACTATTAAGGACAATTTCCTCTAAAAATTAAGGTTTGTTATATAAAAAGGACAAGTCCTAATACTAAAAAATTAGTATGTAAAGATGTATCCAAATGCCCTCACAGGAACAAAAATCCCTGGGGGAAAAAACCCCCCACAATGTAAAGGTCTCACAATTAATAATGTTGTATAAGAATTAAATAACCAAATGAAAGTATTTTTATCATTTATTTGGTATATTAAAATTAAAGGCTTAGAACTCACATAGCTACTCAAATGCTTAAAACGGCTATAATTTGGTACTATAAAAATGATACTTAAGTGAAATCCTGAAATAATTAGTGACAAACTACCATATGGAATAAAAATATCAAAGAAGAGCTTTAAAAAAAAGCACCTGCTTGCAGCTGTTGAGTCTTTGATTTTTTTTCCTTCCAAGGATGCTAAATGTTGTTCCAAAGCATCAAGAAGACTGCTGGGAGCCTAAAAAAAAAAATACAATTATGAAGAATTTCACAAATGAGTTGGACTAGCTAAACACGAACGATATATAACATGGCAAGGTTGACCAACATATAAATCACTCATTTACAAACTAGAGTTTCATTTACAGCCATAAAGAATTATCTCATTTTTTAATTGGAAAAATGGCTATGGTCAATGGTAAAACTTCAGTATTGGAAATAGCCCCCAAACAAGTTGGGATATCATGTAAAACAAATAAAAGACATTAAGAGTATACTCCATCTCCATAAAATCCCATAATTACAAATGGAGACCATGACTTAGCCTTTGATAAATAGTTTCTCAGATTTACACCTCATTTCATAATCAGAAATCAAAATCATCTCTATTGTTACCTCTTTCAAGTAATTATATACAATCATAACACAGGTTATTCCCTGTTGACAGAAACCTTTTAAGACTGTGTTTTTAATTTATTAAACCTAATTTTTTTAAACTAGGAGCAGAATGAGATCCTGTATTCTTCTAGCCATTTTATTAACTGATTGTAAAGATATGATTTGCAAAAGCCTGTCTGTCCCCTTCTCATATCTTCATCAAGGATGCCTTGATTAATGTGTAAATTATTTCACAAAATTCAAATAAATTATTGGTATGTAAATTATTTCAAAAAATTCAAATAAATTTTTTCCACAGATCATAACGGAGCACATGGAAAGATACTATAGTCATCGATGTTCTGTTTTTTTATTTTGGAGGGGGAGGGTGGAAGGTAATGCCATCCAAGGTAGTTTTCATGCCTTTGAAATCTCATACTTTTTCAAAAACATTGAGACTCCCCTCAATGCTCTAAAAATTGCATAACCTCCATCTGGGACCACTCTGCATATACTGAATAGCTCAGCCATTTTTTCATTTCCATATTCTTCAGGATCATTTCTAATTCTGACAGTACATCTCGAGTTGTAATGTTAAGAGTCCAAACATGGAGGATTCAATGTCACTGATGGTCAAGAAAAACGTGTTATAAAAATCTTTACAAATCTTCTATGTTGTTCTCTTTTCAGTTTATCCTTACAGGTTCATATTCTAAAATGACATTGCCCTTAGCTGTTATCTCTCTCCCTGGTAAGGAGATTAAATGTTTGCTGATTGAAGCTGTTTCTGACTCTTTTGTCCCTTCATTGTGGCCATTAATTTACACTGGTTGAATTAAAAGAAATGTGTATATTCTTTTGTTCCTTCATTTCCTGTTTTTCAACATCACCAATTTATTTAAATAGATCAGACTAGATTTGCTTTAATTGCACACCATTTTTTTATTTTTGTCCTTTCAGCTGTGTATTATCTACTTTTCTTCTAACAAGTTGGTGGTCTCACTTCATGCCAACAACTGATCTGGAAATAACTGCAAGACAATGAGAGTCATTTCTTTTCTATTACAATTTAGTTAACATTTTTTTTTTGTGACGCCACTGTTTTCAGTGATCAGCATTAGCACATGGCATACACTATTTTTCTTGTTTGTTTGTTTGGTTTTTTTGGTGAATATACTGTTTAAAAATGCTTGCTGACTGACAAACTGAACTCAAAACTATTCTTGATATCCAGCATGAGACTCCAGTGTACTTTACTTTGGCCTTTCTCATTCCTTACTCTTGAAATCATATTTTCCAAAATATTTTTCACTGCCCTCCCCTATGTACACCTTTGTGTTCAAATCACCAAGTATTAAAGTATATGCTGATATAATTGGATAGTCTTAATAAGGCCACCATACAATTTCTCTGCCTCTTCATACTCTGCAATCAATATTCCTATCTAAGCTGCAAACAATTTCATGATGTAATTTCATGATTAAAAGTAATTTTATCTGTTAGATTCTCCTGTTTTCCTCTTTATACTCCTCTCAAAGAGCTAGTATAACAAAGATGTTTTTTTAAAAAACAGAAAAAGGAAAAAAAACCCAACCAATCATATCAACCAATCAACATAACTAATAAACACATTAGGAAAAAAATGTGAAAATATATGCAATGTTTCACACCGGTGGACCCTAAGTTTTAAAAAAGTGGGGAAATACAGGAAAAAGGGGAGACGTGTTTTCTCATATGAAAAATGATGATAATAATAATATCTAACATTTAGTGTTTATATGTGCCATGCAATGGACTAATTACTTTACAATTATTATCTCATTTGATCACCACAACAATCCTACAAAGTAACTGCTGCTATTATACCCATTTTACAGGTGAGGAAACAGGTAAACAGAAGATAAGTGACTTGCTCAGAGTCACAGAGCTAGTAAGTGTTCAAGGCCAAATTTGAGTTCAGGTCTTTATGACTCCAGGCCCAGTGCTCAATCCACTAGGCCATCTAGCTGCCAAGTTTGAGGTTGTTAGCTTTTGTATAACAGTTCAGCACTATAATTTGTAATATGACATAGTTTTGACTATTTTGGAGCTGTTCTTTCCATTTATGTCACTATAGTCACTGTGGATATTTTATTTTGGCTCAACTTACTTCACTTTCCATTAAGTCTTTAAGTCTTTCCACGCTTCTCTGAATTCACCATGCTCATCACTTCTTTCACAAGATTTCATTACATTCATATAACACAATTTGTTTTGTCGTTCCTCAACTGATGGGCACCTACTTTGTTTCCAGTTCTTTGCTACTACAAAAAGTGCTACTATAAATATTTCAATGTATACAAGGCTTTTCTTTTTATCTATGCATACCATGCCCTAGCAGTGGAATCTCTATGTAAAAGAGGATGATCATTTTAGTTACTTTATTTGCATAATTCCAAATTGCTTTCCTGAATAACTGTACTAATTCATAGCACCAACAACACACTATTGTACCTGTCTCTCCACAACCCTCCAAAATTGATTATTCCTTTCATTCATCTTTATTCATTTGTTGGGTATGTGGTGAAACCTTAAGGTGGTTTTGATTTATATTTCTATTATTAGTGATTTGTAGTATTCTTAGATATGGCTGTGAAATTTGCAACTCTGCTTTTGTGAACTGCTTGCTCATATACTTTGACCACCTATCTACTGGAGAAAGGTTTTTGGTCTTATATATTTCTGTGAGCTGTCTATGTATCCAGGTATCAAACTCTTATTGAGAAATTTGATATGAAGATATTTTTCTCCTAACCAACCACTTCCCCTCTTGCCCTAGGTGACTTTAGTTTGTGCAAAAGTTTTTCAATTTTACGTAATCAAAATCAGTTTATCATTTAAAATTACCTCTATCCCTTGCTCGGTTAAGAATTCATCCCCTACCCATAGCATTAAAAGATACAGAATCTGCTTTTCTATTTTTTTTTTAAATATGATGGTTAGTATTAGGTCACAGTACCCATTTTAAATTTATTACAAATTGTAGTACATCATTGTCTTTTTGCAAATAGCTACAGTGACCACAATGATTCACAATTATCAAAAATGCATTCTCTGCAAACGATGTGTCTTCTTGCCTTAGGACATAAATTCAACTGCATCTCCTTTATCTGCTTTTCCAAGGAGAACTGGTGAGTCACTGGTGAGCATTCCCTTTTATCTTTTTATTTTATTTGTAGGAAGAATACAAGACTGGTATAATTCAGTTCCTCCAGTAATATGTCCTCTACTTGATCACTAGATAAGGATCTCACACTGGAAATATCAACAGCTAATTTAATACTTGTAGATGGTCTAAAAATTTGGAAAACTACTACTTCAATGTGCAAAGATAGCATTGTTTACAATGAAGTACAATTAAAAAAAAAAAAAAAAGCACTGAACTAAATAGAATCAGAAGACCTGGGTTTGCATTCCAGATCTGGTTTTATTAGTCAAGTGACACTGGACAAATCACAATATCTCAGAGTCTTACTTCACTCATCTGTAAGAGAGAATGATAAAAAATATTTTGATAACCTACTTAATACAGCTGTCAGGAAACTACAAATTGTGAACTGTTACAAATGCAGGATTATTATTGTTTAAATAAAGTAATTGCTTTGAAATAATGTAAGTTTGCCAAGAATAGCTTCTTGAAGAGGCAATATGGTATAAGGGGGACAGGAAGTGGCCCAACGCGAGAAGACCTAGATTCAAGCCAGCCTAATGGCTGAGTGAGCCTACGCAAGTCATTTAACAACTCAGTGCCCTAGGAAACTCAAGATAGTAAGATGCAGAGCTATTGCTGAATTACATTTGTAAAGGGAAGTTTCCCACATTAAAGAAATCACAGGTCTGGTCAAAGAAAAAAATTCTTGGAATACATATACATACATATTTGTACATTCACATACCCTGAAGCTAGGTCCAAAGATTTTTGAGAGGTAGGAACCTAGAACAGCTTTAAAAGCAAGCACTCAGTAAGATACTAAAACTCTTCGCTAATATTTGTGCCTTCTACTGTATTGTACCTAAGACAAGATTGTCAGGGTATCTACTCTGCCTACAACACAAACACACATCTTCTCTCTCCTCATTCCTTAATTTCTCTTTCTGTGCATAACTGGTAATCTACACAATAATATTAAAAGATTTGGATTATACCAAAATAATATAATCAAGCCAACTGACCACTATATAGACTAAGCACATATGAACACATCTACTGCACAGATTTTTTCACTTGAGATTAATTAGGAAAAAAAATTATACCAGAACACAGAAAAAATTCTGAAATGACAGAACCCCAACTTAAAATGATATTCATTACAATCAGATTTTAAGTGTTTTTTTTTCCTCTTTCTTCATACCTGTTTGACCACAGAAAATTATAATAAATCATTCATTCAAAAAGCACTTATTAATAAGTACCTATGTACCAGGTACTATCCTAGGTCCTGGGATTACACAGACAAAAATGAGTCCCTAATTCCAAGGAATTTATATTTTATTAGAGGAAACAAAACAGATCGAGAAAATTATATGTAAAAAATATACACAAAGTGGTAGCAGGAGGGAGAATACAAACTAGCAACAGGGGAGGGATCAAGATAGGCTTCATGCAGGTGTAAGCATTTGAACTAAGCTAGGGATTTTTGAGGTGGTAGTAAAGAGGAAGTGAATTTAAGACACAGGATATAGCCACACGAGATGTCGGTAGGAGAGAAAATGTCATGTACAATAGAAGTACTTAGTGGTAAAGTGGAGAGAGTACTTGACTTAGAGCCAGGAAGTCCTGAGTTCAAATGTGACCTCTGATACTATGAGAATTTGAACAAGTCATATAACCTTTGCCTTATTTTCCTCATCTGTAAAATGTGGTTGGGTACCAGGTGGCACAGTGAAGCCAGGAAGTCAGGAAGACTCTTTCTGAAGTCAAATCTGGCCCCAGACACTTACGAGCTTTGTGACCTTAGGCAAGTTACTTAACTGTTTGCCTCAGTTTCCTCATCTGTAAGATGAGCTGGAGAAGGAAATGGCAAACTACTCCAGTATCTTTGCCAAGAAAATCCCAAATGGAATCATAAAGAGTCAGACACAACTAAACTGACTCAACACCAAAATGTGGTTAGTAATAGCACCCACATTTCAAAACTGTTGTGAGGATAAAAAAGAGCTTTGCAAATCTTAAAGCTGCTAGTTTAAATGCTAACTGTTAATGTTATTACTATTTACAAGGAACATGAAGGATTTTGGCAGAATGTACGATGAGTATTTGGGTAATAACAAGCTAATAAGCCTTAAAAGATAGATAGCCTGAAGCCAGATCGTGAAGGGATTTAAAAGTGAAAAACAGAAGTTTGTATTGTATCCTAGAAGCAAGAGACAGCCATTGGCACTTCCAGAGCTTATGAATGACATGGTTAAACCTGTGTTTTAATAATATCAATTTGGCAGCTATGTGGCAGATAAATTAGAGAGGAGAGGATAGAAGGAGGCGGACCAATTAGGAGACCACCACAACAGTCCATACAAGTTGTAAGGTACTAGAGTTGTAGAGTAAGAAGTTTTTTAAGAATCTTTTTAGATCTAACAGGATAGTTAAAGTCATTTTTAGAAACAAAGTAGAAAAGGTGTGCAGGAAACAATGTTTTATGCCAATGTGAGAAATACATGGCAATACAGGATTCCCATTTCCACACTCCTACTCTTCCACATGGCCACCACATCCACTGAAACCATAGCTAAGTTTGGGGTTCAAGCAAGAGCACTGGAAACAAAAAGACTCCACAGCATTTGCAAGTTTTATTTAATAAGTTGCCTTTCCTCAGAACACCTTCCCAATATGGAAGGGAAAAAAAAAACAAAAACTAAAATAAGTCACCTGGTACAAACGGAGACTACTTAGTATATAAACGACACTGAAGTTGAACATACATACAATTAAATTTAATTTAATGGGTAGCAGTTCTAGCTCTAGCCTCTAGCTGACTTCCTAATTATAGTACAGTGAGTTTGATGATGGAGAAAACACTGCCATATGACCTTGTTCTAGCCCTTCAATTTAACCTAGAACCTCTTGTACTAAAATCGCAAAACATCTTAATGAATCAAATATATCCTCATTTCTGGGATTACATGTACATTTAAGTAATCCATAAAGTTCATAATAATTATTTTTAGGCCGAAGCAACTCAAGAAGCTGTAATCTGCTTCAGTGAAGGGACTGTCCACACCAAAAGAACTATAGACTAAGAAATTAGGTTATGGAAACCAATGTTCCAGAGTAACATCATAGAGGACCAAGGGAAGAAATATAGGCTGGGTGGGCACAAAAAATTCAAAGGGTATAGAACAATTATCCAAAGCAACATAAAATAGATGCTGTTAACTTAAAGGACAGGATATAAGAGACTAGTAGTTTGTCCCAGATAACTCATACCACTCAGGATGCAAAAAACAATTAAAAAAAACGCAAACAAACAATAAAACTTAGTACAAAAGCACCAGCTAAATATCAAGATTGTAATAACAAAGTTGATTTCCTGCCATTTTTTTTAACAATCATATATCATGCCTCCTAATTGAGCAGCCAAACAATGAAAATTTAATAAATAATATGATAAACTAAAATGCATACTATAGACAAATGTACACGTTATGTGAATGTGGTCATGAAACCATGCAACTTTTACTCATAAGGTTAATTAATTTTGTGGCCTACACAAAACTGTCAATCACCATTGTGGTAAGGAGATAATTTGTCCTTCAACTGAAGTCTTAAAATAGAAAAGGATAGCCATCTTCATCTTCAATCCTCTGGAATTGTGGCTAGTCAACACATAGATCGAGTTCTTAAGTCTTTCAAAGTTATCTGTCTTTATAATGCTATTGTATAGATTATTCACATTCTGCTTACTTCACCCTGTACCAGTTCATACAAGTTTTCCCAGCTTTCTCTAAAACCACCCTTTGGTCATTTGTTAGGGCATGATAGTATTCCATAACATTTATATGCCATGAGTTATCCACCCATTGCGCAATTGATGCATAGGGAGCTCAGCCTTTTTTTGAGGAGTGGAGAGAATTTTCCATAAGAAAAAGATGTGGTGAATTCCTTCCCTCCGTACACTTCAGACTGAAATAAAGAGAGATATGGCCACAGTGCAATGGGCTCTAAATACTATAAGAGTGGGGGCAGCTAGATGGCACAGTGGATAGAGCACCGGCCCTGAAGTCAGGAGGACCTGAGTTCAAATCTAGCTTCAGACCAAACACTCGACACTTACTAGCTGTGTGACCCTGGGCAAGTCATTTAACCCCAATTGCCTAAAAACAAAACCAAAAAAAAAATTATATATAATATATTATGTATATATATGTAAACAAATATTATAAGAGTTGCATTTATACTGTTCAACAAATTCAATTCAAATATAGATTTATTAAGTGTCAAAGGGAAACACAAAGCTCAGGTAAGATGTAGTTCCTGCCCTCAGAACATATAGTCGAGTAGGAGGTTGAAACAAGCCAAATAACTATGATACTATAAAAAGTATAATAAAAACAGAAGTGCAAGCAAAGTGTTACATGAATTCTTGAAGAAAGTCACCACTGAGGGACAGCTGCATGGAAAATGTCAGATTGAAACTGAGTTTTTAAAGGATGAAAAAATATTCAACAATTTTTACTAACACAAATTAAAAAATAACTATAATAACACTTTAAAGCAAAGTGTCATAAGAAAAAGTGTATTATACATTGCCTTCTAATATTTTTAAGTGTAAACTACTTTACTTTTTATTTTCAAATAAATTTTATTGATATTGTTTGTTCTGTACATCAGACTTTCTTCCAGCATTCTTCTCCTCCCACCCCAGAGAGCCATCCTGTATAACAAATAATATTTTTATAATGGGAAGACAAAACATAATGTTTTTAATTATTCAGCTTACAAAGAACTTACATACAAAATAGGTTCTACAAGAAAACTAACAATCTTGGTGACATCATAATCCAACCTCATAAAGATTAAATTCTCCCCAGGATGGAAGTCACTTACAGCAAACAGGAAGTGAAAGACAGTGAAATTAGAAGTTCTTATGCTCAGGACAAATTCAGTTGGGGTGGCAGGTGCAGAGGACAGTCTATTAAGGAACAGTTGTGCAGGTAGTTTGGGGGGGGTGTGCTTGTCTCCCATAAAGTCTGGCACAGCCACCTACGGCAATGGCCATAAATCTCCTCTTTCCCTAGAAGGAGGTACGAGAGGAGAAGTGGCACAGCAGATAGCTGAGTCTTCGGAAGGCAGGCTTCTTTCAGAGAGGCAACACAGCAATGGAACCCTGGGGACGGTGGCAAAGGACTTGGCAAGTGAACCAGCACAGGACCAGACTAAAGGAGAGGAAGCAATCCCTAAAATGCCCAATGACGTCAGTGTCTTGGAGAAAATGTTCTGATTACCCCCTTAGTCATGGCCTTATAAAATACTGTATAATTTAATTCGTTTGTTCTGATAACAAAGTAAGATTTTTCCGTCTGACCTCATATTATTTTCTTCTTTACATGAAATCTTTCAATTTCCCTTCACGGCAGTTTTGTATCCTATTTAATAAAAATATATATTATCCTTCAAAAAACAAACAAAAACTCCAATGTATTACCTGTGAAAGATCAGGTATATCACCTCTGTCAATACCAACTTGCTGTAAAAAGAGAAAGCATTAAATTTAAATCAACTTTTTATATGCACAAGTAAAACTATTAGAAAATGGCATTTATTCAAAAGTATTATGACTATAACAGAATATGATAAAGTGGAAAAGTCCTGTACTTTTGTTAAACCTGGGCTTATACTCTACTGACTCTTACAAAAACCACATGGGCAAATCGCTTTCTCTAAGACTGCTTTCTCATCTAGAAAACAGGGAATAATACTTGTACTCCTTAAAACCTTACTGGGCTGTAAGAAAAGCATTTTGTGAACTCTAAAGTGTTATATAAAAACGTGAATGTTTTTATTAAAACAAACATTACAGAAGTACAGATAAAAAGAAAAAACATTTCAAAAATTAAACTTAATAGAATTTGTTATTTCTAGTTATTGACTACTCTTTAGCAACTAAATCTTTTCAGCTGTATGAGGAAAAAAACTGGGACTAAAATCTGTCCAACTACCTTACCAGCAACATTGCTTGCTATCTGCATAGTTATATTCCAAATACATGTTACAACAAATCCAGTTATGTATATATCTCATGTTGATCATGATAATGAAGAAGATAATTCACACTTTCATAGTGCTTAAGAAGTTTTTAAGACAGTTTCCTTAAAATAGCTCTGTAAACGTAAGTATTATAACAAAAAGAGAGCAGTAGCCTCTTTTGATAAAGAAAACCAGGAAAAATAATGAGGAGCCCTGTAACTTCCCATTCAAAAGTAGCAGGTAATTTACTAATATCTGCACGAGTGATATTCAAAGTTGGTTTACAAAGTTATATGGTTACTCCCATTGTGTGGCACTTGCAATGAAATTTACCTAGGCACAATCCACAATACAAGGAGGTTCCACATCACACAGGTAGGAGTTCAAAGCACCTGCATGGAACCTGAGTTATCTGCTTGATCACAATCTGAACCTCTAGAAAACAGAATTTAAAGAGTTATGTTAAGTCACTGACAATTTTACCTCTGCCACTTTAAGGAATTCAGAGATCCTTGTCATTCTAGTCAAAAATTTCTTATAGATGTCGAGGCCTTCTTTGCACTGGTTCTTTTTCATATCAAAATATTTTTCTGTGAAAGAAAAAAGTTATTTCTTATACTTTAACCAAAACAAATATAAAGATTCTGTTTCAATTTATAACTTTATCAGCATATTCCAGGGTGAACTGCCAAAATGGCATGAGAAACTTTCCATAAATATCATATATACTTAATGTACTTAAGACAAGTGTTTCATATGCTTTTGGCCTAAGTTAAATTATTCCACTTCTTGGCAATGGAAAAAATAAATCTCTACACCTTTTTCATTCTTCTACCACTCCTTAAAATACACCTAAGTGTGAACATAAATTAAAATCCCAGATTATGACTGCTTTCAAATATATTTAACACACTTTTAATGATCCAGACCCATGGTTTTATTCATGTTAGGATCATCCTATGAGGACACTTTGCTTTACCTACCTCATGGTAGGTTGTTGTAGGGATAAACTGGGAAAGAGTCTATAAATCTCTTGGGAGATACAAAGCTGAAAAAGCATAAGAATTAAAAAGGCACACTCTGATTTCTGTTTATGGTGTGAAGGTGACCCCATGTTCTTGAAAGCTGTGCCAAAAGAGCACGAACTTTGGAAAGTTCTCTTTGAGAACTCTATTTTAATTTACACTTTTTAATGTTATAACTATGTAAAATGTGGTCACTGGTTCCAGCCTAATGGTAATATGGAGTGTGAATTCTAATAATATGGTTACTTCACAGGATAAATTTGTTATTTGCACTAACAGGTACCTATTTGTAGATTTTACTTTTAAGTAAGAGGAGGGAGAGAGGTAAAACATTAATTATGCAGTCAAAATCTATAGATAGGTAAGGTGCATGAAGAAGTTTTCATACCAAAAATTCTTGGATTTTTACAAAATGAAATGCTTTTAATAAATTTGTAAAACAATACTTACTAAGCAAAGGAGTTCATAAGAATAAATACATTTACAAAAACACAAAGACCACCTTCCATATTGATTTGGTAAATTAGTAAGCTAATTAGGAGACTGAAGGGATATATATATATATCATTCTTCCACAAATCAGTCATGTGAACATCTAAACTATATCTGAAGAACATTTTCAAATGATCACTTCAGTCAGCATTACTCACCCTAACTTTCAATACAGGGTAAGAAATGTTAGAGAAATATTTACCCAAGAGATTAATAATTCCTTCATTATATGCTGCAAAGAGTCTAATGGCATCTTTGAAAAGGAGCATGAAGGCAGCATTTATTACTCCATTTGTAAGCTCATTGCTATTAACCTGGGAAAAAAACAAGAAAACATCAGATAAAAAGAAGTCTCAAATAAAAAGCATCACTTCATTACATGTTTTCAAGCTATATTATACATCTAAGTAGTCAGAAAAACGTAAATAAAAAATACATTCTATCTGTCTATCTATATGTATTTTCATTCCAAGATTAGAGACATCAAAGATAAAAAGAAAACTCAAATACATCACAATATTTGTAGCAGGACTTTTGCAGTAGCAAGGAACTAGGAATAAAGTAGATGCCAATTGTGAAATGGCTAAAACATAGTGTGATACTATATGTAAAGGAATGTTGCTGTACCATAAAAAACAATGTGAACAACTCTAAGGTACTACCTCACACCTACTGTTTTGGCTAACATGACAGAAAAGGAAAATGGCAAATGTCAAAAAAGATACGGAAAAGCAGGAACACTAATGCACTCCCTGTGGAGTTGTACTGATCCAAGCAAAAGGGAAAACAATTTGGAAATATGCTCAAAGGGCTATAAAACTGCGATACCCACTGACAATACCACTATTAGGTCTATATCCCAAAGAAATCAAAGAAAAAGGAAAAGGACCTATGTGTACAAAAATATTTATAGCACCTCTTTTTGTGGCAACAAAGAATTGGAAAACGAGAGGATGCCATCAATTGGGGAATGGCTGAACAAGTTGTGGTATATGATTGTGATGGAATACTATTGTGCGAAGAAATGACATGCAGGATAGGTTTAGAAAAACTTGGAAATGCTTACATAAACTGATACAAAGTAAAGTGAGCAGAACCAGGAGAATATTGTACACAGCAACAGCAATATTGTAATGATGATCAACTGTGAATGACTTAGCTATTCTGATCAATACAATGATCTAAGACAATTCAGAAAGTCTTATGATAGAAAATGCTATCTACCTTCAGAGAAAGAACTGATGGAGTCAATGTGCAGATTGAAACATAATTTTTTCACTTTATTTTTCTTGCCTTTTTTTCCCCCGAAACAAGGCTAAAATGGAAATGTTTTGCACCATTTCACATGTACAATTGATAGCACATTTCTTTTGTGTGTGTGTGTGTGTGGCAATCAGGGTTAAGTGACTTGCCCAGAGTCACACAGCTAGTAATTGTCAAGTGTCTGAGGTCGGATTTGAACTCAGGTCCTCCTGACTCCAAGGTCAGACTTCTATCCACTGAGCCATCCAGCTGCCCCTGATATCACATTTCTTGCTTTCTCAGTGGGTGAGGGGGGTAGAAGTAAGAGAATTCAAACCTCAAATGAATGTTAAAAATTAATTTAAAAAATAATGTGAAGACTTCAGAGAGGCATAGGAAGACACTATAAACTGACACAAAATGAAGTAGAATCAAGAAAACAATATACACAAGGACTACAGTGTAAATGCAAAGAACAAAAATTCAAAACTGAACACTATAATTATAATGACTAAACTTGGCCCTGTGGGGAAAAAAGAGAGGTATGAAAATGTTCCTTCTCTTCTTTTTCTACCAACCTCCAGGTCATTATCACTGAGTGCAGCTTCTGGTTGACTTTTGTCTTCTCTCTTACTCCTTGCCCTTATACTGTAAGAATTCAACATCCATCTTTAAGTTCTCTCAAACTCTCTAACCTCTCAATTTCTTAGTCTCTTCAAATAACATAACCCAATACACTCCATCTGAGTTGCATTTAGGGATGGTCACATAGTAACTCTCACCACTGTTTACAAGTGTTCCCCTCCCTAACTAAAAACTCAGACATTTCCGTATCTGACCATATCTGCTATCATTCTACCTTTATATCTCAAGCCTTCCCATAACCTCTAAAAGACTTTCAATCCTTCTTATCTTCACTACTTTCTTGGGCCATTACCCATACTCTGACTTGACTTTCTTCCCTCTCCAACATCAATCTAATAGTTATCCATTTCATACCTCCACTGTCATCCATCTGCTCTCCAGTTCCTTGTTCTGTTGCACCCACACTGTCCTCTGCCTTAAATCTCTTACCCCATTTTATTCCTATCTTTACTCATCTCTTGCCAAACCTCAGCCTTGATTAATATTACTTTTTCTCTGTTCCTCGTAAGTCTCTGAACACCAGCTGAAGGAAATTTCATAACAACGTTGAGTAAGTGTATTACAAATTCATGTTACCAAACTCAGCTGGGCCCTCCTGAAGCAAGGTTGTCCTTTTTCCCCCTCCCTAATTGTTATCTATTTCCCCACAAAAGATTTTCCAAACCTCCTCTTTACTCGTCAAGTTTCTTACAGCTCCCTCTCCCTTCACTTTCAGCTGAGGATCTTGCCTCTGCAAAAACCGAAGCCACTACAAATGAAGTTCCTTTTCCCATGGCCTTCATTTTACAACTCCTTGACATTATTTCCCACTCTCTCACAAAAGGATAGCTCCTCTTGCTGAAGCCAACCCTCCTTCATTCATGCTTGATGCTAAACCTCCCACCTCGAGTAGATTGCCTCCTCAACCCTCCTCCTCTCCCCCTTTAATGCTCTCCCTCCCCCTCCTCTAATTTTCCCTTAATCTCTCTCCTCTCTCTCTGGACCCTCTATTCTTTTCTCTACATACCCTCTCAGGGACAGCATCATCTCCCATGGATTCATCTATTATCTCTATGTTGATGATTCCTAAACTTTTATATTCTAATCTCTCTCCTGATTTTAAGTCCAACATCACTAATTGGCTATAGGACATTTCAAACTATATTTCCCAGAGATATCACAAACTCAATGTGTTCAAAATTGAACTTATATCTTCTCCAAAATAATACTTCTTCCAAAAATAACTATGTCTGTCAAAGGCACCACCATTTTTCCATTCTCCCAGTTTTGTAATACTGGAATCATCCTTGATTCCTCATTTTCCACATCCATCCAAATCTTATCATTTTTACCTCCATAATATCTCTGCCATCCAATTCTGTTCTGCTATTGAGACAGCCACCTCCTTAATTCAGGCCCGCACCAGTTCTTTCCTAGACTGCTTAAATAGCTTCCAATTGATCTCTCTTTGCCCCAAGTCTCTCCCCACTCCAGTCCATCCTTTACCCTGCTGCCAAAGAAATTTTCTTTAACCATAAAACTGATCATGTCACTCTCATACTCAATAAACCTCAGTGGCTCACTACTCGGATAAAACATATACTTGTTGTTGAACATATAAAGCCCTTCACAATCTGGACCCAATCTATAGTTCCAGCCTGGTTTTCTCTCTGCTCTTCACATACAACAGTCAGTTTCTCATCTGTCTCATAGAATCCCTTTCCTTCTTTAAGACACAGCTCAAGCACTACCTTCTACATGAAGTACTTCTTGATTTCCCACTACCCACCCAAATGCTAGTGTCCTCATTAACTAGCTTGTATTTATTTGCACCTATTCTCATTATATTTATTCTACACATACTTACATACGTAACTGTTGTCTTCTTCATTAGAGTATAAGCTCCTTGAGAGTAGATTGTTCTGTTCTTTGTATTCCCCTGGTGCCTAGCACATGGAGGTGCTTAATAAAACAGCAGTGGTGCAGTAGGTAAGAGCACTGGGCCTGGAGTCAGGAAATCCTGAGTTCAAATCCAGCCTGACACTTAGTAACCATGTGATCCCGGTATGTCATTTAACTTCTGACTGCCTCAGTTTGTTCAACTATAAAATGGGAAAAATAATAGCATCTACCCCCCAGGGTTGTTTTGATAAAGTGCTTAGTGCCAAGTTTGGCATGTAACAGACAATAAATGCGTGCTTCCTTCCTTCTTTTCTAAATACTTGTTTATTTATCTGCAATGGTAAGGGATAGCTATGGCTGCTGAATATTACAAATAATGTTACTTAACTGATGTGTTGGTTGGTTTTGCTGAAATGCCTTTATTATCTTTTTTAAATTCTTTGTTTTAAAAGATGGCTCTCAGAGTAGGGAGATAGAGGAGGGATATATTGGGAAATGAAGTGATGTAAAAACAAAATGTTAATCCAAATTGATAAACCTTTTTAGAAGGTCAAAACCATAGCCAAGTACTTCCTTCCTTCCTTCCTTTCTTTCTTTTTTTGGAGGTAATCAGAGTTAAGTGACTTGCCCAGGGTCACACAGCTAGTAAATATCTGAGGTCAGATTTTAACTTCAGTCCTCCTGACTCCAGAGCCAGTAGTTTATCTATTGCACCATGTAGCTGCTCCCATAGCAAAGTACTTAAAAAAACAAAAAAAAATCTTAAGATTTGGTCAAGTGTTCAAATATTCCTTCATTCATTTGAAAGTAAACTTAGTCCCAGTGGTGAGAGGAAGCTCAAACACACGACTAACAGTACAATATTTACTATATATCTTCCAAGTAGGACACTAAGGAAATCTTCACCTTATATCCCTTGGAATCTAGAACTCCCACAGAATTATGAGAAAGTGAATTCTGAAAACTTGAGACAGCATGGCCATAGAAGAATGTGGGAACAGTCTTCAGCTGGTTGAGGACAGTAATAAACTGTCTCAGGCCTACCAGTAGTAAAGAACTACACTGCATTAGGCTATGAACACAGAAAGAATACTGTTTCTTACTTCATTGTCCCAAATAGGGATTTGATGCTCACGTCCGCACATTTCAGAAACTGTATCCTAAAGGTGCCTTACAGGTTAGTGATCTACGGATGCAAGAGCACCATACCTTCCGAGAGTATCTCCCCCCAACCTTTCCAACTATGAAGCTGGAATTATGACTCCAATTATTATGCTTCCTAATATCAGAGTGGGTGACTTGGAACATAAAGCAATCAACATAAGTAGTAATAACAGGCTAATCACATTCCTTAATCAGCATCTCCTCTCCTCCCTAGCACAAAGCACCTAATGGACGGATGGCAGCAGTGTCATTCCAAAATTCAAGTTATCAGTTGTCTAGCACGAGCATTTCCACTGTTTGCTTTTCTTCATCTCCCTTAAAATGTATGCCTTATTTCTGGAAGTATGGTACATGTGCAAGGGTTACCTAACCACAGCAAATTTTGGCAGAGTTAACTATACTCATGCAATGTCAATCTAAATGGTCTGTATAGACATGCTTGATATGGTGTTGCCAAGGAATCTATAAATCATCTGTGGGTTTGTTTTGTTTTACTTTGGAAGACTCCTGAAAAGATCAATTTCAGGCCATGCCTTGTCTCAATTCCCCTTTTATGAGCACTCATAGATAAACCAAAGTCAATTCTGCCTATACTTCTCTTGCCATTTGGGATCTTGTGAAATTTCAGGACTAAAAGCCAGTTATGTATGCTAATGCCATTGCCTGTATTTGTAGCAACCCTAGCCTTTTCCTACCCAGGTAAATATGGAACCATCTCAGGTTTTGAAGGTTCTACTGAAAAGCAAAATCAGCTCTAATATTAATTAATCACCAAACATTTAAACTAGTGAGGTAAAATGTTACATAATGCAAATTAACACACTCCCCAACAAAGGAAAAAAAAAATAGCACCAAACAATTCAAATAAGCTAAAAAGTGATGAGAGGACAAAGACTATTCTTTTAAAACTATTTACTTTCCTTTTGGAAATCAGTCACAGTACTTTGCCCTTTGCACCTGGTGACAATTACACAACTATGTGAACATTCTACTATTTCTTTTTTTAATTGAACTTTAATAGTCATTTTTTTTAAAATTTTGACTTCTCAATTCTCTCCTTCCTTCTAACCCCGCCCCCGATCATAAAGAAGGCAAACAATCTATCAATCATACATGTTAAGTCACGCAAAACATATCCACACTAGCCACATTACAAAAAAAGAAGGCAAGAAAAATAAAGTAAGTGAAAAAAGTATGTTTCAATCTGCACTCAGGGTTCATCAATTCTCTCTCTGGATATACAGATACAATTTTTTATTCCCGAGTCCTTTGGAATTGTCTTGGATCACTGTTTTGATTAGAGTAGCTAAGTCTTTCACAGCTGATAATCATTATAATATTGCTGTTACTGTGTACAATGTTCTCCTGGTGCTGTTTACTTCACTTGGTATCAGTTCGTGTAAATCTTTCCAGGTTTTTCTGAACCCATCTTCAGTGTCATTTCTTATAGCATAATAGTATTTCATCACAATAGTATAATACAACTTGTTCAGCCATTCCCCAATTGATGGGCATCCCCTCAATTTCCAATTCTTTGCCACCACAAAAGAGCTGCTATAGATATTTTTGTACACATAGGTCTATTTTCCTTTTTCTTTGATCTCTCTGGGATACAGACTAGGTCAAAGAATATGTACAATTTTACAGCCCATTGAGCAAAGTTCCAAATGGCTCTATAGAATGGTTGGATCAGTTCACAGTTCCACCAACAGTGCATGCATGTCCCAATTTTCCCACATCCCCTCCAACATTTGTCATTTTCCTTTTCTGTCATTGTTAATCAATTTTGACAGGTGTGATGTGGTACCTCAGGGTAATTTTAACTTGCCATTTCTCTAATTATTAGTGATTTAGAGCATTTTTTCATATGACTATTGATAGGTTTGATTTCTTCTTCTGAAAACCACCTGTTCACATCCTTTGACCATTTATTAATTACAGAATGACTCTTATTTTTATAAGTTTGACTCAGTTCCCTATATATTTGAGAAATGAGGCCATTATCAGAGAAATCTGCTATGAATTCCCCCCTTCCCCAGTTTCTTGTTTTCTTTCTAATTCTGACTACATTAATTTTGTTTGTGCAAACCCTTTTTAATTTATGTAATCTAAATTACCCATTATCCTTCCAATGATCCTCTCTATCAAGTTTGGTCATAAACTCTTCCTTATCCACAGATCTGACAGGCAAAATTCTCTATGCTTCCCCAAATTGTTTATGATATTACCTCTATGTAGAAATCATGTACCTATTTTGACCTTATCTTGGTATACTGTGTGAGACATTGGTCTATGCCTAGTTTCTGCTCAACTGCTTTCCAGTTTTCCCAGCAATTTTTATGAAACAGTGAGTTCTTGCCCCAAAAGCTTGGATCTTTTGGTTTACCAAACAAAAGATTACTATGGTCATTTACTTCTGCGTATTGCGAACCTAATCTATTCCACTGATTCACCATTCTATGTCTTAGCCAGTACCAGACTGTTTTGATGATTACTACTTTGTAATACAGTTTGAAAAATGGTACTACTAGGCCTCCTTCCTTCATAATTTTTTCATTGATTCCCTTGGTATTTTTGACCTTTTGTTTTTTCAGATCAATTTTGTTATTAGTTTTAGCTCTATAAAAATAATTCTTTGGTTGTTTAATTAGTATAGCACTGAATAAGCAAGTTAACTTAGGCAGAACTGTCACTTTTCTTACATTGGCTCAGCCAATCCATGAGAAATTAATACTTCTCTAATTGTTTAGATCTCTCTTTATTTTTATGAAGTGTTTTGTAATTATGTTCATGTAGTTCTTGGGTTTGCCTTGGGTAGATTCCCAAGTAATTTATATTGTCTGTAGTTATTTAAATGGAATTTCTCTTTCTATCTCTTACTCCTGGATTTTGTTGGTAATATGTACAAAGGTTGATGACTCATATGGGTTTACTGCATACCCCGAAACTCTGCTAAAGGTTAATTGTTTCAACTAGTATTTCAGTTGATTCTCTAAGAATACCATCATACTGCCCGCAAAGAGTGATAGTTTTATTTACTTGTTGCCTATTCTTATTCCTTTAATTTCTTTTTCTTGTCTCACTGCTGTAGCTAGCATTTTTAGTACAATATTAAATAAGAGTGGTAATATAGGACATCCTTGCTTCACTCCTGATCTTACTGGAAAGGCTTCTAGTTTATCCCCACTACAGATTATACTTACTCTTGGTTTTAGATAGATAATATTTATAGTGTTTTTAAGAACATTCTATTACTTCTAAAAACTACTTTGCTATGATCCCTATGGAGCTAACAGAAGTGTCACACTGAGTTGAAAATACTTAAGAGATCTAAAAATGAAACAATCTAAATAGCTATTATTTTAAAAAAAAATTGGACACACAACTTAATACTACTCGGTATTCTCTTTAAAATATTCTTAATATTTTATTTATGCTTGATGTCTGGAAATGTGGTACTTGTGCAAGGGTTATCTGACCACCAGCAAATTTTAGTAGAAAATTGGAGCTCAAGGAAAGAAAAACAAATCAAATAGGGAAAGTCTTCAAACACTAAAAGAAAATAATAGATAATTTAATTTGAAACCCACTTATTGGTTTTGCCAAAAGCACAATATCACCATTAAAATCGAGAACCTTGAGCAGCTAGGTGGTGCAGTGGACAGAGCTCCATCCTTGGAGTCAGGAGGACGGGAGTTCAAATCCAGCCTCAGACACTTGACACTAGCTGTGTGTCCCTGGGCAAGCCACTTAACCCCAAGTGCTTCACCAAAAAAACAAAACAAAAAAAAAAAATCGAGAATCTATAAAACATTTTACAATAAGAGAAGGAATTGAAATGTTAGGCTTCTAGTTAGGTAATCCCTACAGGAACAGCAAGTGTACTTAAATTTATTAATAATTCATATCAAGTACAAATGAACTAAAAGTACAACTGAACTTACATTAAAATCAAGAAGTGCATCCATCTGGTTTTGAATAATTGGTACAGTTTTTAGGAGTTTTTCTGTGTTCATTGTTCTCATGACTCCATCAGCCCTATTAAACAAACAAGGAGGAAAAATGAGTTTGCTACTAAATCTTAAAACAATTGCCATATAGTTTAGAAATTCTAATGGAAATTTTAAGAAAACTTATAATTTTTTCTCCCAGTTAAGAATAATGATAAAAACAATAACAACAATAACAGTATCTATATAGTGCTTTAAGGTTTACAAATAACATCTCATTTTATCCTCACACCAACCCTGAGAGGAAGGTATTATTACCATTTTACAGATGAAGAAATTGAGGCAGACAGTGGTTAAGTGACTTGCCCAGGGTCACACAGCTAATAAACATGAGACCATATTTGAACTTAGGTCCTTCTGATTCCTGGACTAATTTTCTATGCACTGTGCTTCTACCTAACTGCCTCTACTTAATACTAAATATGAAATAGAAATCATACAAGAGGAAAATAACAAAATAACTATTAGATAACAGGAACAACTAATAGCCATTCCAAAATACTCATGCAAAATGTTTACCACATAAATATGGCACCATAACATCACCAATTCCACAAATTCCCGAAGCATAGAATCATAGAGTTTAAGAGAATCTCAGAGATCATGTAGCTCCCCAACAATTCATATACATTCTAAATTATCAGAATGAAAACTACACTTTTGATTTACTACCTGGCATCTGTCATCAAGAATTACCTGGTTTTGTTGCTAGGTATTTGGATGTCTAACATTCTATGCAGCAGTATAGTATTTAAATAATCCCTAGGTGTGTCAAAATGATCCCCATATTATTTAGAATACCAAATACCTGGTTGTTTTTACAAAGATAACTCCAGGTATGCAGTCAAAGGGGTTAAAAGAAGAAAACTAAATAATGCGGAGTTCTGATAAAGACTTTATAGATTAGCCCATCAAGAAAGAAAAACTGAACATATTTGCAAAGTTTCAACAAATATTAAGGACCTACCATGTACAAGGTACTAGTGGATACAAATAAGTATAAGACAGTCCTTGCCCTTTCCCTGAAAAAGAAAAATTTATGTCTAGAAAAGCTCACGAAGGAGCAGAAAAGCAAATAAATGAAGAAAAAAATCTTTGTAACAAGTACCTCTGATAAATGGTATGATATCTAAGAAGGATGGGGAAATGATACAAATATATAAGAACAAAAGTCATTTCCCAAGGGTCAAAGGATACAGAAAGGCAACCTTCAAAAAAGGAAATCAAGCTAAGAAGTACTATTTAAAAGAGTGTTCTAAATCTTAATTAAGAGAAATGTACATTAGAATTCTTAGGTTTCAACACACACAACAGAGTGAAAATGATGACAAAAGAAAAAATGACACATATTGGAAAGCTTGTATGAAGACAGGTATAGGTGGAATGCAATGCTACTGCTATAAACTAGTTCAACTAATCTGGAAAATGTTACAATAACACTAAAAAAAGTCAATTATACATACTCTTTGATCCAGGGATACCACAGCTAGATATACATACCCAACAAAGCCAAAGACAGAAAAATCCAATAATATACAAAAATATAAAAACACTTTGTGTAACAGCAACAACAAGTATCCATCCAATGGGAAACAACTAAATAAACTGCAGTATATCAATGTAATGGAACATTACCTCGCCATAAACAATGATGAATATAAAGAAATCAGAAACATATGGCAAGATTTAAATCAACTAATGCAGAGCAAATTAAGCAGATGAGAACAATTTACATGATGACCACAATGTAATAGGTTTTTCTCAAAACTGGTCCTCTTTGACCTCTCTGCAGGCTTTGAAATTGTGCATCACCATCCCCTTCTGAATACTCTCTCCTCTGTATGTTTTCATGACACTACTCTTCTCTTACTTGTCCTCTTATTGGTCTGATTACTCCTCAGCCTTCTTTATTGATTCTTCCTCCATGCCACTCTCTCAGCAAGTGAAAGGATATGCCCCAAGGCTTCTTTTTACTCTATACTGTCTCACTTGATGATCTCATCAGATTTAATCATCATCTATATACAGATGATTCTCCAATCTATATATTCAGTTCTATTATCTCAGCCTCTTGGACAACTTCATATCCTGTAGGTATCAAAATCTCAGTACATCCAAAATAGAACTTATTATCTTGCCCCAAAAACCCCTAGCTCCCCAACTTTGCTATCACTGTCAAGGGCATCACTATCCTTTCAGTTACCCAAGCCAACAACCTTGGTGTCTTCCTACTTTTCACTCTCCATATATCCAATCCTATAATAAACCTTGTCATTTCTACCTTTATGACATCAATAGCATACAACTCCTCTCCAGTCATACAGCCATAACCTGAGTTCAGGCTCCTCATAATTTTTTGCCTGGACTAATGCAGTAGCCTCAAAACTGGTGCCCCTGCCTCAAGTCTCCTCTCTAATCCAATCTATCCTCCATTCTGCAGCCATGGTGATTTTTCTAAATTGTAGGTCTGACCCCATCTACTTTTCCTCTTGGTAAGTTTCAATGACTCCCTAACAGATTAAATATTAAGTATAAAGTACTGTTTTGGTCATTTGGAACTCTTCATAATCTGACTCCTTCCTACATTTCTAGTCTTCTTTTATCTTTTTCCCCTACACATATTTCAGTCTAGCTATACTAGCTTACTTGCAGTTCCTTGAACACTTCACTTTATCTTCCATCTGTGCCTTTTCACTGGGCCCCATGCCTGTAATGTTCTGCCCCTGTCTCTTAGTAACCCTGGCTTCCCTCAGGGCTCAGCTCAAATCTCACCTTCTGAAGGAGGGTTTTCCCAGTTTCCTAGTTGCTTATGCCTTCTCCTTTCAAATTACCTAAATAAATTTTTAAAAATATCTACCACGTACCTAGTTATTTACATGTTGTCTCTCATTAGAAGAGGAGTTCCTTGAAGGCTAGGGCTGTGATTTTGCCTTTCTTTGTAACTTCAGTCCTCAGCCCTGTGACTGGCACATAGTAAGTGCTTAATTAAATCAATGTTTGACTTAATGACTTTAGAGGACTAAATGATTTTCCAACTATTTACAAAGATGTTCCAGCCAATAGGTATAAAACGAGGCATACAACTTCAATATTAATGATTGATATTTTTAAAAGTTCACATGTATATTTGCTGCATGTGGCAAGTCTTTAGGCTTCAGTATATCGCACTGAAAATTAGTATATTCAAATACCATATGGCACAGAAAATAAGCACTATACATGGAAACCTGGGTTTGAGTCCATACTTATTCGCTGTTTGACCATGGGCATATCATTTAAGTTTTCTGCACCTCTCTTTCCTCAACTGTAAAAGTGGTAATAAGACACTATTAGTGTGGACATAGTGGATGGAGCCCATCACCAGTTTTCTCCATCTTCTATAGGAAGCCTTTCCAATACCTCTTATTTGTAATGTCTTGCCTCTTTTAAACTGTTTCCTATTTATCATGCACACGCACACGTGCGCACACACACACACACACGTATAAATGTGAGTGTCTTTGTGTGTGGATATCCTTGTTTGCACGTAGCTTTTTACATACTGTCTCCCCAATTAGAGTGTGAGCTCTGTGAGGGTAGGGAATGTCTTTTGTTTCTTTTTATATTCCCAGCACAGCACAGTACCTGGCCTGTAGTATGCATTTAATAAATGTTAACTGTCTGACAGCCAGGAACAACCAAGTATAAATACCATTTCTTGGCTTGCTGACTTTGTAATTCTATACTAGTGATCTAATCTCTCATTGTCCCTGGCAATTCTGTAAAAACTCACTTGTAGAAGAGTTGCTGATATCTCCTGTTAGAGGGAGTTTCTTCTACCTGTGAAATTGTACTTTTAGATCAAAGGTCTTTAACCTGGGGTCCATGGAGCACTTGAGGGTTGCTCAAGGACAGATTTCAAGGGGTTCATGAGCTTAGATAAAAAAAAAAATACATCTTTATTTTTATTCATCTTTGAGACTTGGCATTTCTTTCAATTATTTAAAAATATTATCCCTCAAGGGAGTCCATAGGATTCACCAGACTGCCAAAGGGGTCCATGACAAAAAAAAAAAAGGTTAAGAGTCACTGGTCTAGACTAAATAAAAAATGCTAAAACATTATCTACCTCAGCCAGGTGTTGTAGTCAAGTGATCAATTTTTATTAACAAAAAGGTGTTAAATAATTTAAATGCTTTAGACAAGAATTTATTAGTGAAGCCTGTTTTCTTCAAACACTTGAGCCACACAGCAATAACAGTATTTACATTTCACCTGGAAAAAAAATGGGATAGCCTACTTCCCTAATTGGATAACTCAATTCTCCCCAACTCCCTCCAGAATTTATGGCTGTGATAAATTCCATTAGAAGTTTAAAACAATGCTGAAAATGTCTTTTTTGATTAGTCAATTCTGTAAGAAAAGTTTACTTAAGTATACTAGCAATACTCTATACATTTGATTCTTCCAGAACCTTCCCTTAAGCAGATCAGTCTTTAGCATAAGGAAAAACTATGCTTCACACATTACCATTAGACAGATCTGATTTCCACAATTTCTCTTGGCAGTTCCTAACTCCCAGCAACTGTGGTTAATGGCAGTAACGCAGATCCATATGTTACATATCTATTTCCCAAAGTTATTACATTAGTTGTCTGAGAAGGTAGCAGTCATAAAGTTCCTACTCATGGTTTATATCAGGACAACAGAATACTTTTGAGGTTCAGGCTGATCTGTCAAAGGTCAGATTGCCTATAGGCCAAAACCTACTTACAAACTAGTGTCCTGTTATTCTTTATAATCTTACTAATATTAATGGCTTCTCCTAAGTGTATCATGTTATCTAAAGCAACAACTTATGGTCCAGGCATAAAACAAAGATCATTCTAAGATAAGACTTACATAAAATAACTCATGTGCGTGAAACCTACATTTGAAGGATGATGAGAAATGTATTCAAGATCTCTAACTTTCTAAATGGATAAAAACAATACACACCTATTAAAGAACAAGGCAAAAGAGCTCAACTACTATTATATAAAAATTAGCTATCTTATATGCCTTTTTAAGAAAAGAATTCTTACTGATTTTAAAATGTGACAACTCTGTAACTTAACATTTATCTTTTGAGGTCACACACTATAAGAAATCTGCAAATATATTAAGTAGGCAATCCAGGTAACACATACCACCCAAGATGGCAGTCTCTGAGTTAGAAGGACCTCTGAGGCCATCCAGTCCAACCTCTTTAACAAGAATCTTCTCTATTACAATGCCAACTAATAGTTATCTAAGCCAGTGCTGTCAAACCCAAATAGAAATGGTTCCACTAAACCACACAAAAAGATCCCTGTGAGCTGCATATTTGCACACAAAACTATATATTAACATTATCTATGTTCTACTGTACTTTTATTTATTTTGTTAAATACTTCCCAATTACATTTTAATCTGGTTTAGGAAACACACAAGACCTTTAGATTTCTAAGTCCTTCAAATACATTCTTATCAGCCCTTGTTAAGTACACTCTATCCCTGGCCAGGAGCCTGTCTTTCCTCTATTTGAAGTCACTATACAGAAATTCAAATCCAATTTCAGACACGAACTATTTAAACAGGTGTTATCTTCCTAAAACATTTCTTCTCTAAATTTCCTGATTCTAATGGGTAGAAGCAAAAAACAAACAAACCAAAAAATACCAGCTATAACCCTAAGGTTTTGAGGCTACCTAAGATTTCATAATCTTTTGCAATATCTCTAAGTTATAACTGGCATAATTAATTGTGTCCACATCAATCAACAGAAGGAGCAGTAGCTACCCAGTTGGACAAGTTTTTTGAGTTTCTTTATCACGTCTTGGATATGTGCCCTGGGAAGACAGTAATCTCTACACATTTCATTAGGTCAACTGCTGTTTCAGTAACCCTGAGCAGGGAGCCACCAACCACTACTGACTAACAATGATCTCTCACTTGATAGCATCTATACACTCTATACTTGTTCTGTGGGAAAAGTCCCATTTCTTAGCTCCAACTATTTAGAGATCCTTCTTCCATCTCTTCTCATTCATATTCTTCCACTCTCCAATTTCATGATGAAATTCAAGATTCCTCTGACCAACAGTTAGAAAACAGGAATATTAATAATTATAGAAGAGGAAGTTGAACTCACCCTCTTTTTACTTTTGTGAAGTCAAATGCAACTTGTCTGTAAGAAACAGCCTTTTCATTTAGATACCTACTATATCGTCTAATAAATGTGGACATATCATATCCTGAAAAAAAGTAGAAAAAGTTTTAGCCTTTTAGTAAAGTTATATAACCAGTAACTTTGCCTAATAAATCAATATTGTATAGAAACTAAATTAAAATGTCCTACAAAACAAATTAAAACTTTTATTGAAAAAAGTCAAATAGCAAATATATAATGTTGTATTGCATACTTTAAACATGTATTTAAGGCGGAGAGGTATTTTAGATAGTGCTAAAATTGTATCAGAATTTCACTATGCAGTTTGCATATTTCCTCCTCACATATTTACCTGCCTTTGTTTCAATAAGCAACAACTGTAAAAATGTTACATATATTTAGTAATAATCAGAGTTCATATAGCACTTTAAGGTTTGCCAAGCACTTTGCAAATATTTTACTACTTAAATTAAAATTCCAGCTAATCACTAAAGTGATTCCCCACCAACACCTCATTCTCTAGAAGGCACAACACAGACATATGAACATCACATTACTACATTTTCTTGAAATCGTATTCCAAGTTTTTCTTACCTTGCAATCCACTTTTGTCCAAAAAATTGCTTAAATTAAACAATGTGTTCCTTGAAGCCAAGTACTGGATAAAGCGCTAGAAAGGAAAAGAAATGCACATTGGATCAATTCACCCTATCGGCATCTTATTTTAACTATAATTTGAGAACCAGAAAACTTATGGCTAAAGCATTTCATTAAGTTTTACAAGCTTAAGTTTTATAGCTAATGTAATATGCTAGTTTCAGATCTAAATTTACCAGCTATAAAGATACAAAAACAGCTTCACTATCATTAGGATGTTTATCAAAGCATCAAGACTACAAAAATAGCAGAGAACATAAAACACCAAAGGTTTTATAGGAAATGGGGAATTCTATGCCGGTTATAAGACCTTATTAAAATAAACTTAGCTAAACCTGTTTTAAAAAGTTGTTTGTCACCAATCACCTAGCTAAAAAGCTAAATTTTTAAAGCACAATTTTTTTTAAAAGAAAAAAGCTATTTTAAGTAATTAACATATACCGAGTAGCCCAGGCATCCTAGCCAAGTATACTGACCCATACTACACCTCTTCAAAAGGAAATCATAAAAATGATACCAACCACCTCCATGGAGACCACTGCATTACAGCCTCTCTTTTTAAGTCACTTCCTTCCTAAACAAGCACTGTTTTGTATACAGGAATTAAGAACATATGTGAGAATAAAAGAAAAATCATAATGAATCAGGCCAGTGGTATACCTTGGCCACATGTTCTGACAGTGGTACTCAGGGGTCATTTCGTGTTAGAACTTGGTTCCATTAGAGACCTAAAAGGTTAGGGGGCTATACCATAAGTGTCCATGATTAATGATATTACTTTCATTATTAATAACAAATAGCATTTATATAATCCTTTCAAGTTTGCATAGTACTTTTTATACATTATCTAATTTAAGCCTCACAACAACTCCGCCAAAAAAGGTACATATTAAAGGTATTATCCCCATTTTATTATTAGGGAAGAGCTTAAGGGACTTGCCCATGGACATATAACTATTAAGTAACCAAGGTTTTCCTGACTCTTAAGACTTCACTATGTTACACTGTCTCTCATGAATCTATAATTCATTCTTCTCTTCCTACTACTACTCATTATCCAAGCATTTGAGGAGTGAGGGAGAAAAGCATGATGTCCTCTAAGACTCTGTCCTGAGCCCTCTTCTCGTTTCCTATTAGTGACCTCATCAGTTCACCAAGTTGTATTAACTCTTTGCAGATGATTCCCAAAACTATGTGTCCAGCCTTAGCCTCTTTTCTGAGTTCCAGACCTACATTACCAATTTGCCCCCACGTGTCATTAAGAATTCCATGTCTTATGGGCATGTCAAACTCAACATGTCCAACAATGAACTAATCATTTTCCCCAAACAACCTATCCCTGTTCTGAACTTGCCTATTTCTATCAAGGGCACCATCATCCTTCCAATCCCCTAGTTTTGCATTCTCAGTGCCAACCTTCATTCTGTATTTTCTCATCTTCCATATTGACTCAGTTGTCAAATCTTGTCATTTCTATTTAACATATCTGTCCCCTTCTCTTCACTATAGTTCTGGCCCTTATCACTTCTCTGGACTACTAGAAGCTAAATATCTAGTTAGGAGAACAAACTGAATGATCAGGTAATACACAGAGAATTAGCCATCACCACAAACACAGCTTACCTCATTTCCATATACCATCAAATGATGAGTTGTAATGAGAGACTTGAAGACCACCACCCAACTACTATTAGTAGTTCTTTCAAACAAGCTGTCTGCCAACTGGGGGATGTTCACATTCATCTCATTTGTGCACTGGATTAAATCTGAAATATAAAAACAGCGTTCAAAGAAGTTTCTATATCATATGGCTCATGTCTTAGTATTTATTTAGTACCTGGTACTGAAAAGGCACTCAATATTAAAGAAGCAGTTAAGTAATGAGAATTCTTGGGCCCAATAGAGAAATTCAATCTAATTTAAAGCAAATCAAACGAAATCATGTGCAGGGCAATATCTTTAAAAATGCTATCCTACCCCGCAAAAGTGTAAAGTGAGTCAAGCACCTAAGTCAGCTCTTCAACATGGATCCCTCTTATGAAGTACATAAGACCTGAAAAAAATACTATGTCCTATTGTATTTACTATGTTGTACTACCCTTGCTTTGTTGTCTTGATGGTTTTCAAGAGTTCATTTGTATCAGTACTTTTATTTCAGTTAGACCTAGAAACTCAATACTTTATGAAGTTCACATAACTAAATGAAATACACCTGAAGTGATACCATATACCAAGAGAAGAAGTAGAAAGCACACATAGGAGGCACAGACCTAAAGCTGGCCTCAGAGGTCATCTAATCTAATACCCTCATTTTATAAATGAGAAAACTGAAACCAGGAATTGTAACAACTCAATTCACCCTACCAATTCCACAAAATGAAGAAAAAGGAATAAAAAGCCAAATAAGGAATTTTTAAAAATTTTATTTTTTAAAGTATGTATAAAATGGTTAAAATCCCTTAAAACTACAGCCCAAAAAGTTACAAAAGTCAGTACGCAAAAAATGATAAAACAAAGCTGGTGGAGCTGAAAAGAAAGGAATACTCTGTTACATTGTTGTGGGGCTGAAAACTACTACAAAATTTTCAAAGGATAATAAAGATTAAGAGTCATAAAACTCATAATTCTCTTTGCCTTGCAAAATTCCATTCTTAGGACACTTGGGAAAAGGGCTTTTACAGAAATATATGTAGCTGCTTTATTTGCTCACACTCCTCCCAGTAAAAGATGAGATACAACTTATATGTCAAATTATCAGAGAATGGATGGCTTATTACATCCTAATGTATGGCACTTTCATTACAATAAACAGATTTAAGGAAATATGCAAAGATGAGCACAAAGTGCATACAAAGCAAAATTCAACAGAACCAAAATATACTCAAATATACTCAATGACTGCAACTACGTCAAAAGATATTAGAACTTCATTCAGACTGGGATGGGGACACCACATACATTTTTGGTTCAATAATTTTTTTAAAATTTTTTATCTATTTTTTTAAATGCCCATTTTAATAGATTGAGGGTGTTATGTTAATTTTATTCATTATTTTCCACATTTGTTTATGACAAACATATTTAAGTTTATGACAATTTCAAGATTAACATAGTTGGTTCTATCCCAATTTTCTAGGTCTAACTGAAATAAAAGTACTGATACAAATGAACTCTTGAAAACCATCAAGACAACAAAGCAAGGGTAGTACAACATAGTAAATACAATAGGACATAGTATATATAATAGCAGTAGTTAAAGCTTCTCTATAAAATGTTTGTGTCACTAATTCTATTACACAAAGTAACATCAATAAAATTCTTTTTAGGCAAATGGCCGCTATGCCAAAGTTCCATTGCTTGGGCAGCAATGGAAACCCAGAGCAAGACAAACTCCACTTCCATTTTGTACAGTTTAAGTGTGCATTAAATTTAACATGATGGTTAACACTGCTCTATGTGCCTTTGCCACTTTCTGAATTTTCTTCTGTTCTTTTCTGTGCATTTAAAAAATACTTACTAATATTTCTTTCTTTCTTTTATTTTTATATTACTCATTACCCAGTAACTGCATCCCCCATCTTCACTTGTAACCAAAAAGTATAGTCAGGAAGAAAGAAAAGCAAAGAGGAAATGAAGGAAGGAAGGAAGGAAGGAAGGAAGGAAGGAAGGAAGGAAGGAAGGAAGGAAGGAAGGAAGGAAGGAAGGGAAAACGCACACACCCAAGCAGTGCCTGAAAATGTTTATTTCCTTCCGTACCATTCTATTCACATGGCCACAACCCTGACTGAAACTCATCTTCTTTCATTTGGATTACTGTAAATAGCCTTCTAATTGGACTCCCTCTCTCAAGTCTCTCCACCACTTCAATATATCCTTCATACAGCTACTAGTGATTTTCCTACAATGGCAATCTGACCACATCACTCCCATACTCAAATTCCAGGGACTCCCCTTACTACCTCCAGGATCAAAAAGAAACTCTTTTTCCTTGGGGGGAGGGGAAGAGGGGTTGGGAGTTTTTGAAAACCCTTCACAACCTGACTGCCCCTAACCATCTACTGAGAGCTCAATCAATTCCATCTGTAGTTCTTTAGGTGCCTCGGTGATATCAAGTAAGAGAGACTGGAATGCTAATTTGAGTGTGATGTCATGATTCTCAAAGTCTGTGAAGCTTTCATTATATTCTCCAATTAACAGGTCTATAACAGCTACCCATTCTTCAAATGATTTGCATCAATCATCCTGCTCATCAATGATTTTTGCTAATTGGGGGAAAATGCTCATCGGAAATCTCCTTTTGAAGAAATGTTTTGAAAAAAGATAGCTTTGGGGGCAGCTAGGTGGTGCAGTGGATAGAGCACTGGCCCTGGAGTCAGGAGGACCCGAGTTCAAATCCAGCCTCAGACAGACTCTTGCCTGTGTGATCCTGTCCCTGTGATAGCCAATGCACTTTAGAATGATATGGCAAATCCACGCTGAATACCTCATTGCTCAACTTTTGCATGTTCCGAAACCGACAATGCCATGTTGCATTTGCATGAATATGTAGAAAAGCAGGACTAGAGTTCAGAGGAGAAATAAGGCACTGATATCGAATTCAGATGGGTAAGTGTGCAGTCTTTTCTGTCAGATTTGTCTTCCAGACTACACGCCATTCACCTACAGCTGGTAGCAAACAACAGATACCAGCCAATGTCCCCTCACTGCTCCCTGGATGCAGCCTGTGCTCAGTTCCAGTCAACCTCCTCATTGGGACCCACCCCACCCCGAGGCAGGGGCAGCTCTACACCCCTTGCCAGCAGGAAGCAGTTTCAGAAGCAGATGGGTCCCATTTGTTTCAGGGGGTAAAGATGGCCCAGAAAGGAAAAACCCTAGACCTTCCCACATGCCCAAATCTCTGGTGTTAGCCTGAGGCTATAATCCCATCAACTGGCCTTTCATTGTGGCTACACCCAATCTCCCAATTCTCAGTTACCCTTAACCTAGTCTAGCCCTCCATTGTCTTACCTCCCTATGGCCACTGGCCATTTCTCACCCTTAATCCTAACTAGACTCCATTCTCCCTTGGCCACGTGGTCCAGGTCCCAGGTGTTCTGTTCATCCCAGCTTACTGGCCACTCCCATTGAGATCTTCCTTAGACCCCTCCTCCAGTCACCCCAAACTACTTGGCCACTCCTAGATCATTCCCACAGTCTTTATGTATATAAGGTCCATCTTGCTGTCTCCATTAAGGTGCTCAGATTCTTAAAATCTAGCCAATGGCTCACTAATGTTCAGACTTCTTAAGAATCTACCCAATATGACGGATGTTCTAATAAACCTTGTCTTTGGCTGGGGAAAAAAAAATCCTATAAGCAAAGACTTTGTCTTTTCTCCTATAAGTTTAATCACAAAGGCCAGAGAGAGAACTGCAGATTTTACCTAAAAATTTTAAGACATATTGATGACAAAAATCACAGCATGATTTTTATACATAATAATCAGCATGGAATCAAACTAAAAACAACATTCATGCTAGTACTATTAAGGGCTAAGACTAATTTGCGCAGTTGATCTAAAGCATTTGTTCCCTAAACACAATGAAGTAGTCAAAGAATAGGTACAATATGGAGCTAAGAAGCCATGTAACAAAATAACAGAATAAAAAATTTAGTGGTCCCTTCTAGTCTAGAACCTTCTTTATTTTTCAGAAGAAAAAATGAAGGCCCAGAGAAGTCAAGTGACTTGCTAAAAGTTAAAAAGCTTAAGTGACAGCACCAGGATTCAAAACTAGGTGTTTCTGACCCCAAATCCAGCTGAATGAATGAATCACACTGCCTCCAACCAACCATCCAAACAATACTGAGGAATCTGAAGCATCAGCTATTAACTATGTTGGTTCTAGCTGAAACAAAGGAATTCTTCTTGTACTACAAAACTATCAAAGTAATCACAAGAGTTAAGAATCACTTGTAATTAGCATATTCCTAAATACATGAGGATAATAAATCCAAAAAAGTGCCCTATATGCTGTATTACAGGAATACTGACAATACTAGTTATGTTATGAAGCAGCTAGGTGGTGCAGCGGATTGAGTAATGAGCCTGGAATTAGGAAGATTTGAGTTCAAATCCTGTGTACTTGTGTGACTCTGGGCAAGTCACTTAACCTCTGTTTAGTCAACTTTAAAATGAGAATGATAACAATACCTTCCACCCAGGGTTGTTGTGAGGTTAAAATGAGATGCTTGTAAAGTGTTTAGCACAGTGCCTGACACACAGTAGGTACTTAATAAATACTTGTTTCCTTCTTGTGAGGGACTGTTTGAAGCCAGCTACTGCCAGATGAGGGTTGTGCCAACATGGGACAGAAACTGGGTACCAGAAAGTAACTGGAGCTCTTGCCCCTGGAGCAAGAGCTCCGGTTACCTCTCTGACCCCAGATCTCATCCCAGTACGTTACAACTCCGCCCAGCACCGCCTCTGCCCCTGGAGCAAGAGCTCCAGTTACTTTCTGGTACCCAGTTTCCGTCCCATGTTGGCACAACCCTCATCTGGCAGTAGCTGGCATCAAACAGTCCAGTCCCTCACACCTTCTTTATATGAATATATGACATTACAAATGCAGATCCAAAATCCCAAAATCCTACCATATACCTCAGTAATGTTTTGGCTACAACCAGTAATTTTCTCCACATATTACTTCTCCCATCGCCCCCTATAATGATTCTATTCATAAAAAGAAATCTTAAAATGTGTCCAGAAAGGAAAATGTTTGCAACACCT